AATATACACAATCAATCACACTAACTTCTAAATCACTTCTACAGTTTATATCATGGAGAAAAAACTTATCATGTAATTAGGTTGAAATTCTTGTAACATTACCTATCATAAAGACCTTAATAATCCAACAACACATAAGCAGTACTTCAAGTTTTATCCTCTACATATTGGTTATGCTAGGTAAATATGAATTTTTTTAATAATTTTATTTATTTATTTATTTTTCCCCCAAAGCCCCAGTAGATAGTTGTACGTCACAGTTGCACATCCTTCTAGTTGCTGTACGTGGGATGCGGCCTCAGCATGGCCGGAGAAGCGGTGCGTCGGTGCGCACCCGGGATCCGAACCCGGGCCGCCAGCAGCGGAGCGCGTGCACTTAACCACTAAGCCACGGGGCCAGCCCTAAATATGAATTTTTTATCTGACATTCAAATAACATCGGGACTGACTTTAAAAAAAATAAGTCTAGGACTTATCAAAGATTTATATTTAGTAATAAAAACTGACAGCATTATCAAATTTTAAAGCCAAATATCAGCAATCACTTTTTGACAATATTTTGTGGGAGAGTGACTTGGTAACTTCATGAAGGCATGTAAGGCTACAGCAATTCAGAGCTGTTGAATTTACTCTATGCCATTACCATAGTACTGCAAAGGATGAGAGCATTTGTTTTTCAGGAACAAAACCTAACACAATTTACCCCTGAAATTTAGTTTGCGTGTTTTTAAAATAATGATCTCTTTACCCTCATAAGTATCTAGATTTAAAGCAAATAAGATTATTACCTTAAGACCCACTGAAACATTATGAAAATTTTCAAGAAGCCCAAAATGTAAACTCTTTTGAAACAAGCACTACTTAATTTTACAAAGTCACCTTGTCTAAAGCAGGTGATATTAAAGGTAAAATTCAAAGGAAGATACCATGGGTAAAAAACAACATGAAACAACAACAGAAAAAAGGAAAAAGCATGGATTTCCTTGAGGACAATATGACATAACACTACGGAAGAAGACAATCTATTAAAAGTTAGTTTCTTCCATCTCTATATTTTGTTATAATAAATGCAGGACAGTGATAAGGTCTCCAAAATGCTCTGTTGTACAGAAATTTTGCTCAAATAGAAAATGACTCCTTTGTCATTTCCCCACAGAAAACTATCCTGATTTTAGAGAGCTCCAAGAAAGAACATCTTTCTACAATTTATATTAAACTTCTGTCAACTCCTTTTTACCTAGGGGTGGGAAGCACGTCTATTTTACTCATTTCTATATTTTTGTCCCTAGCAGAGTGCTGGTGGCACTGTGCATGAAAGCATCCATTCGCTCAACCATTTGTTCATTAATTCAGCAAATATTTACTGAGCACTTACTTTTCGCCAGATACTGTGTAAGCAGTGAGGTAAGGCACATGACAAACGAGACGACCCACCCTGGTAGCTTACAGTCTAGTGGGGAGACAGTCATTTATCAAATCAATACAGAAATAATTAAGTTCCATTTGTGGTGATGCTACAAAGAAGCACAGAGTATGGTGAAGATATAGTAAAAACTTAGTCTAATTTTAGGAAGGATGGGTTAAAGAAGGTCAGGGAAGGTGCCCCTGAGGAATGACATTTAAACTGAGCCTTGAAAATTTACTAGGAGTTGGCCAGATTTGGGAAGGGGAGGGGGAGAAGTCCAAGGAGAGGGATGCAACATGTACAAAGGCCCCCGAGTCAGGAAGGAGCTTATGTTATGTGGTAATTGAAAGGCACAGCAAATGAGAAAGGCTGGGGATAAGGATGGAGAGCTGGATACCAGACAAAAGATAAATTGTCAGCATTAAACAAAGTAAGAGGGTAATAGTATTTGAATATTTAAGTCATTTTAAATCTTTTTCTCACGTAAAATAAATAATCTAAGGGAACTGAGTCTTTATCCCACAATATTAAAGATCTGCAGTCAAAAGAACTGGATTATGTCTTGGTCCCACCAGTTACTAGTTGCATGACCTTACACTTAACCAATCTGAACCTCTTCATTCGGTAAACAGGTACTCAATTACTTTACCTATTGGGAATAAAAAGATAACACACAGTCCTGTTCTTATAAACTTTATATCCTTAAAGAAAAGGAGACAGATGTACATGGAAGACATCCTAAGTCCTGTAAGAGATAATGTCCAAAAGCTGACACAAGGCTCCTACAAAACCCAAAATGAGAACAATTGTGGACATTGGTAAACTGCAAACTACTATAAAAATACAAGTGTATACATCATCTGTGAACCCTAAATTATTCAATGTGCAGAGATCCAAAATGACCACAGTACTCCAGCAGGTGACTTAAAGATGATAAACACAATAGAAACATCACTCTGCCGCTCCAACAGAGGTGAAATATCAAACTATAAGGGACCTCAGAGATGAAGAGAAATTAGTGGTAGAACTGAACTAAGGACAAAAAGTAACACACGGCGGACAATGCATTATATTAATTTTACTTATCTCCAAATTTTCCTGACTTTTAGTTTGAAAGTTCATTCCACAACCTCATAGCTGCAGGTCAAAAGTTAGAACAACTCATTTTCATACTTCCTCCAACAAAAAGCCAATACCTATACTGCCATCTAGAAAATACAATAACATTCTTGCTTTACCATCACTTATGTTCAGTTTATGGCCTACTTAAACTACCACGCCCTCCTAATATAGCACAGAGCCAGTTATTCCCACATAACTTTCCATTTGTTTAGTTGGTCTTCCTTCCTTGTGTACTGCTTTACTCATGGTGCTGCATTATTCCTGATTTTATTTTATTCTATAGTATCCTACCTCTCTTCTATTTTAAAGGTCATATTAATTTCCAAGCCCTCAACTTCAATCACAGGGGAATGTAACACCTGTGATCCTAGAAAGTATTTTTGCATTCAAAAGTTAAATACATTGTTGATAATACTAACAATTGCAGAGTACATTCAAAATGCAGCATATATCAGTGGTCAACTTATTCAACAGTAAACCACGATGTGACAACCTGCTAACAGTAGACATCTCATTATGTACAAACTTATCATGAAGAAATCCTGAGGTCAATGAACATACTCCAAAAATTTTATTTAAAAACTATCCAATAATAATATTCCTGAGCTAATAACTGGTCATAATAACAATTATAAAGGATAAGATTGGAACAAGCACACTGCTTTCTGTTCAATATAAAATATAAATGTCCTATTTTTCCTTTCTTTAATATAAAATAAGGATATTAAATGTCACAGATGATATTAAGAAAAATAAAATATGCAAAGCCTGATGTTATTACTTTACATACATACGCCCAGAATCAAGAAAATGAGGGGAAACACAACAAAAATCAGCAAAAATGTGATGTTGCTTCCAAGAAATGCAACGTATCTTCTTTTCTAGTAATGAGCAGGCTACAGTCTCTCGTGATGCTCTATTATTTGAAAAAACTGTATAATAAGTTTTGGGAAAGAATTCCAATCCCACTGCTCTCAGTTTTACAAAACGAAGGTAAAAACAGTCCTAAGGTAGGAAGGGAAAGGAATATCTTTTAACTGTAAGGATGGGATATATTGTTTATGTTCTCCTATCTCATTATCTACGCTTTAAAATGGTAGTACACGTATGATTTCCTTCATTAAGTAGTAGATAATAACAACAATAAACAAACACATAGGGACAGAGATTGGATTGGTGGTTACCAGAGCGGAAGGGGGGAGGGAGGAGGGTGAAAGGGATAATTGGGTACATGTGTGTGGTGATGGGTTGTAATTAGTATTTTGGTGGTGAACATGATGTAGTCCATG